CCCATAGCTTTTTTATCCATTGTCTGCCTAAGTCTCGGGGTCTCACTTGAGGCTATGTGCGTGGTGAGAGTCACAAGAATATGCACTGACATTGACTTCTTTGTGCTGAGTTATCCAGCTTACATTCTTCTCTGTGCACGGAAAGACAGGTAAGGGATTCTAACCTATTGTTTGTTTACCCAATGTATGTCCTGGAGTAAGTGCGTAAACCCTATTGTGAGAACATAATGCTGCCAGTAAGAGATCAGAAACAGCTGTCCTGACAGCTTTGGTGTATGAATTAGGATAACCCATGCCCAACAACTAGAGATAGAGAGTCACTTACTGTTTACATGGAATTGCACATAAGCTTTTTCAATTTTGAAATCACTTTTCAAAATTTCTAGTGTGTACATTCCTGCATCTTCTTCAGTGACATGCTGGAGCAGCAGGGATCCGTTGTCATACACCAGCTCTCTTCCAGTATATTGATCTCCCCAGGTGACAGTATTCAAGATTTTGCTGCATTCAACAATTTCATAATATGGAACCCTTTATACTGCCCTGTACCAGGTAAAGGCTTGCCGATCTTCTGGAAGATTATTAACTTGGAGAATAACATCTTCCCCTTCCTTATCATACAGAGTTACGGGTTGGATCATGAGCTGGGAAGAGGTGAGAGGGTTACAGCATGGGGAAAGGGAGCCTGGAAGGGGAAGAGAAGAAAGCTGTCACATGGGGATCATTGTGCTTGGTGAGCAGATGGGTTTGTTACTCAGTCTAGAACTGCAGATGTGGGTGTGTCTATACCACCCAATGAAGGTCAGCAAAATGTCCTCCTCCATTCCATTTCTGCCCCCAAACTGTCATTTCCTCATCTTGGAACTCTCCCCTCAGGTATCTTCAGGGCTGTTCCCTCACTGCTCTCAGTCAGACACTGCACACTGAGGGTTAACATGATGACTTCCATAAACTCATCATGACTGAGATGTTTACATTATAGGTTTTTTTTTCAGTTTCCTTTGTGGCTACACTCAACCCTTAATGTCACACTATAGATGCTATTGCTTCTTTGCCTGCCAGCCTTCAGGGTTGAGTCTAAGTGGAATCTGGGAGACGGCTGATCTTCAAGGCAGGTCAGGCCTTCAGAAGGCTTGGGTACTAGGCTGGCTGGTTTTACGTCAACTTGACACAAACAAGAGTCACTTTTTAAAGATAAAGCCTTAATTGAAAATGCCACCACCAATTCAACCTGTGGGCAAAGCTATAGTACATTTTTTAGATTAGGGATTGATATGAAAGCTTTGAGACCACTGAAGGAAGTGATGTAAGAGTGCAAGTTGAGCAAGACATGAGGAACAAGCCAGTAAGCACTACTCCTCCATGGTATCTCTACCAGTTCCTGGATTTTAATTGTGACATTCTCCAAATGGAGATAACACATGCCCTATTTTGACATTAGTAACCTAAAATCATTGTTTCCTATCAGTTCTGACAGGAAGTAAGAGTAGAGTACTGGAAAAATTCTCCATTTGGTCACTTTATTCTGCCTTGGAAAGATGACAGGGTTCAGGACTCCCCAGTCTAGAGCCCTAAAAGACTAGACTGGCTCTGAAATTTTACGGTAAGTTATTTTCCATTAAGGTCTTCCTTGATGCAGGTGGAGTGATTACATTAGATGGAGTCTGATCTATGGCCATTTGTCTCTACCAAGTTTGCCCTGCACTAAGTGCCCAAACTTCTACATAGGAGTGCACTGCAGAGGGAAATTAGGCTAGGCCAGCAATGACAGTTCTGTATGTGTAAGCCCCACCCAACACCAAGCAATCACAGAGAACCACTTACTGTTCACCAGGAGTTGCACGTGTGCTTCTTCACTTTTCATATCTGCACAGTCGATTCGTAAAGCATACAATCCAGAGTCATTCTTAGTGACATTACGAAGCACCAAGGATCCATCACTGTTTGCTGTCTCTCTCCCAGTGTTTGCAGGCCCCATCACACTTGATCTCGCCTCTAATGTGTATCGGGCAACCTCATGGTCCCTGAACACAGATATTCCTTTGAACCAAACAAAACCTCGAAAATTCTCTGGAAGATTGTGAATAAATAGACGAACATTTTCCCCTTCAGCAACAATGGGTGGCACTGATTCAATAGTGGGCTGGGCCGAGACGGGAGCACGCCCACAGTTCCAAAGGAAAGCTAGAAGGGAAGAGAGAGATCCATCTAAATTGTGACTTTTGTATTTAACTAAGATGATTCCCTGTGTCCTGAGCAGCTATGTCCATTTCTCAGTCTAGTTTTGTGGGTGAGTGTCTCCCTGTCTTACTTGGTGGTAGTATGTCCCCATACTTGTGATTTCCAATGTATGACACCCTATCTTCAGTTGTCAACATTGTCCCAGTTCACTACCAACAGACTCTTGCTGACATTTACAGTGGATGGTATTGAGGTGATGCATGCCCATCCTCATCCTCTATAGACCCGTGTCTTCACTCTCTGACTTTCATTGTTGTTATGTTCCTCTTGTGGTTGCAGCCAACACCTGAACTTATTTTATAGCTTTCTTTGCTTAAAGTCCATTTGAAATGGGGCATCATAAGAACTATAAACTGTCTTCTATTTCTTAAAAGGAAATGCCAAAAAAATAACAGATATAGGGGAAACCTGAATGAATGAATGATATCTGGGAAACCTGTATGCCCAAGGATTTATTTAAGAAACTGAGAGGATTAGGGAATGAGTATTTGATCATTCTATTTGCTTTGATCTTTTACACTTGTTTGCATATTATACTTGTGTGTGAGTAGTGTAAAGGCTATGATACAATATTTCAGTGGAGGTCAGTAGACTTCTGTTCATTGGTCTCAGCTTGTCAGTAAATAAAGCAAATGCCTTTATCCATTGATCCACATCAGTGAGCCACACCAGCTTGATTTTTTTTACTTGAGACATCAAGCTGAGAGTATCAGTCTTCATAGTACTTTACTCATGCTTACAAAATTTGTGTAAGAACAATGTTTCCCCACCCTGAAAGTTTAATATTCAATGAGAGCATCCTAATAATGAACCTCCCACCTCTTCTGTGTCCTCTTCCCTACAGACATGGGGATTCCTCTTATGTACGTATGCCAATCAGGAGACTCCAGACAGAATGCCAGTCCTCTCCTATCACACACTGCCAACTCCTGCTCTTCTCATAAGTGAACAGAAGCCCCTGTGATGTGGTGAAGCCTTTGTGGAGGAATACAGGGAAGGCCTCCATTGCCTTAGTAGGATGATCTGTCATCCTGAGGTACTTTTGCCCCAGCACAGCTCTGATGTCCTTTGCCCATCTGAGATGAACATCTTCCTAGAAAGGATAACCTCCCAGAGTCCTGTGGACTATAGGTAGGTTTGTGTTCAAAATACTGCTCTGTCCTTCCAGTCTCAGTGATGCCTCAAGTTCCTTTCCCATCTTTTCTTTATGCTCCTGTCCTATAGAACCTAGAGTGATGATAGTCAAGGGCAATGAAACACATGAGTGGAATAGTAGTTGACTCTGGAACTGCACTCTGCTTTGTCCTGACCCAGGTTAGTCAACACTGGAAAGAAAAAGAATGCACAACTGTGTGGCACAAAACTCAGCTGGGCATCCAGTCAGCCCTGTGTTTTCAATGCTCTGGAAACATGGAATTTGCTCCCAGCAGGAAGGTGACAAAACTGTCTTTAAGGCTCCAATGGACCAGGTGTGTAATGTGTCGTGAAAAGAACAAATCTTTTCTCATTGGAGTCACCAAAAGACTGGGTTCTGACTGAGGTCAATGGTCCAAGATGTGTCAGGAGTCTCACATTTTGGGTGTGTAAGAGGAGGTGACCTGATTCCTAGAAAAAGGTTGTGAGCTCTTTCATCCTATAAGACTTTTAAGACTGTAATACTACTTTCTCTGTTGTTGAGTTATGTAATGGGTCTACACATGCGCTCCCTGTTTTTCTGAGAGACCTTGGACCTTTACCTAGTTGATTCCCCTTGGATACCATGAATTTTCCAAAGGAAACACATGAGTGGGAAACAGAAAATAATCTCTGGCAGTGTAGCAGACACATGAAGCAGTCAGTAGGTCTGAGAATGCTGTGACCAGGATTTCTATGTATGTAAAATCAGAGTGGTACAAGATTACTAGGTAACTTCCTGGTTCAGACAAATACTTTTCTGCCATTTCATTGTGTACCCTGATAACATCCCTGGTGATCACCAGGGGAACTACTGCTTATGTCTGGGAAACTGTCAAATCACTATAGCCTGCAGTTATTTACTTGCAGGAGAGAATTTCCCAAGTGGGACCCAGAGGAGAAGCTCTTGTCAGGACATCTTTTGTCCTTGGTCCAGTTCCTAAGGTACCATGACCTTCCTGTGAAATCTCATATGCCGAACAAGACAGTGAGTTAATGGCCTGGATACTTGTTGAGCAAGACTCCCCTGATGACTCTCTGAAGAAGATGGCCAAGGCGTGTACACCAACCAAGGCTGTCTTGACAGAGCACTGTCTGATTCCACATATTACAAGATTTTGAATACTAGCGAACACTATTCCCTGCCATCAGGAAGCCAAAAATCCACCACTTATAAAATGCTTCTCATGGACACCTGGAGTTCATTCTAGGACAGAGTTCAGGAGGCAGGGATTCCTGGTGCTCATATCTCTGTGAAGAGCTCATGTAGTCCATAATCAGGCACAATGTTGATTCCCTGGGAGTCTTTCTTAAGGAAACTTGCCTGGTAAGAACCACTAGAGACTAGACAGAGGCTGATATGCTTGGCATGTTACCCACCACATATCTACCTGTGTTCTAGATGAAGTCAAATGAAGGATTAAAATCTATTGCCATTATTCTAAACTATATGTGTCCTGCATTAAATGCTCCGACCCCAATACAGGGCCACAATGCACAGAGAATGTAGGTACAGACCACACTCCTGTGTCTGTCCAGTGAAGTGAACCTCACACAGCTCACAGAGTTCCCAGCAAATCACTTACCTTGCACATGGAGGTAGGTGGATGTGCTTGATACAATTCTTCCACGTCTATTATAGGCTCGAAAGGTGTAGAATCCTGTGTCCTTCTGGGTGAGTTTTTCAATCAACAAGGATCCATTGTGATATATTGTCTCTCTGCCACTGTGCACAGGCCCTGTAACACTTACATTTTTGTGCAGTGCATATAATGCAATTCCTTGCTTCATATTTGTTAGTCCTTTGAACCAGGCTAAGGCTAAAAGATTCTCTGGCAGATTGTTGACAAGGATAAGGACATTATCACCTTCAGCCACTAGGGGTGGCACTGATTCAGTGGACACTTGAGCAGTAGTGGGGAGATGCCAGAAGGAGAAAAGGGAGGCTAGAAGGAAATTGAAAAAACCACCAATATTAAAGAGTTGTGATCATCACTCAGCTTTGCTGTGAGGGTAGGTTGTGTCCACCCTCATTTGCAGGCATGTGCAGCATGATTTCCATTCACTCAGAGCCTCTGAGTGTGTCATTACTTCTTAGAATTTTTCTGCTCAGCTGTCTACCTGGTTCTCCATACAGTATATCACATCCCGCCTTATAGAGCATTTGCAATGAGGAGAAACATATCTCTGAACTCCTCTTCTTGAAAGTCCTCACTTTCTGAATTTTTCTCTGTTCCCTTTGTGATTCCTACCAACCGATGACTTCATTTTTTTTTCTATATACTGACATCATGTCCACTAGAACTAGGGAATTGTGTGTTTGTCTGGTTTTTTTTTTTTTTTTTTTCCTGGAAGAGACTCAGACACAACTGGATAAATGAAAAAAAGGAAGGAGGAATGCATCTTCATGGATTTTTCTTCATAGCTCCTAGGTTTGGACCTATCTTATGACAATAATTACATAATTATATTTAAGTGTGAAATAAATGACTTTAGATTTACTTATATAAATATAAGTGTGTAGTTGTAAAGGCTAGTGTCTCCGTGTGCACATATGAAGATATATTCCACAAATCTTTGTGGGATGTATGTGTCAGGGTATGCAGGTAGGTGCATGCCACAGCACCTATGTTGAGGGTAGAGTAGAGCCTTCAGGATTATGCTCTCTCCATGTACCATGTGGGAACTGAGGTTTGGCTTCAGGTTGTCTTATCTTCCCAAACTGAGACGTCTTGCTAACCCTCCCCTGTTTGATTTCATTCGAAGGGTCATGGTTGGGTAAAGCTGTCTACATAACATTGCAGCTAATATAATTCTCATTGTTTGAGCCCTTTCCCTTATCATCATCACCTCCTGTCCTCTGAGAGCTTCAGGCTGTGGAGCATCTGTCCCTCACTGTACTTTATGCAAACACAAGCCTTGAAACTCATCTTAGACTCCTCTTTTCTTCAGGAGACTCAAGACTACTTCTTAGTTCCCCTTCCCACACATTCAGGGAGTGGGTACCCTTACCTGTGAGCAGAAGCCCCTGCCAGTGGTTGCAGAGAAGCACAGAGAACCCCTCCATCAATCTTCTCACTTGCTGTCCTCCCTCTGAGAAAAAGAACCTCGATTTCAATTAAAAAAAATTTCAGGCTCTGATGTTGCTCCTTTCTGGCTGAGATCCTTCTCAGGTAGAAGCACTTCCCAGAATACAGCGGGCTGTGAGTTGTGGGATTTCAGTCCAAGACACTTCTCAATCCCTTCCACTCTCAGTGCTGTCCCACATCCACCTTGACTTCCCTTTAAAGTTCTTCTCCAAGCAGCACATTGAGCAACAAGGCTGATAAACATCCCCATGCCCTCAGAGAACAACAGCTCCTCCCAAGGCTGACACCTGCTGTGTTCTTGCCTTGCATCCTTCAGTACCAATGAGGGAGCCTCCACCATGTCTCTGTGTCCTTGTGACACAGAAACACAACTGAACCCTCAGTCAAACCAGTGTTCTCTATGATTTAGGAAGGTTGTATTTATTTAATCCTTGCAGTAATGTCTCTGATGGCTGGAAAGAAGCCAGCTGAGTAATAACTAGGGATGAAGCTCAATCCTTTATCACTAATGTCACCAGTCAAATTAGTGATCAAGAAGAGAGGCCCAGGAACAGTTGTGTGAGGAGTTCCATGTGTTCAGTGTTGGGGAAGAGGTGACCTGTGCATCCTTGAAAGGATTGTGTGCTCCATCTTTCAATGGAGAGTTTCAAGGCTACATTCTAGCATTATGTACTGGGTGCACACATGTCCTCTTCTATATTCCTGGGTTACCTTTGCCCTTTTTCTAGATGATTTCTGAGTCATATTCTTGTCTTCCTCTATGAGAGAGGTGAGGAGTGAGTCACCCTTCATGGTTACCATGCAGAAAGGTGTCCTCAAACCAAGAAAGAAGCCATTAGTTCAGAGCAGTGTCTATGGAAGGAACTCAAGGTTTAGTAGGGACAGAAATGAAAAGCATTCTACTTATGCGAGCCTTTTTGGAGTATTGAGAATATGACATTTTTATCACTCCATGGAGATCACTGGGAGAATTGCAATCTCATGTTTAGGGCTACAGCAAACATGGTCTAGAAGCCAACTGTGAACTTCACTTATGCGTTCAACACAGGTATGTTGCAGGGCCTGTCATCCTGATTACTGGGCCCTTTATGATTCGTAATTCCTTGTACTGTAGAAAGAGTCTAGACAGAGATCCATATTTGTTCTGGGAAACCCTGCACTAAATTTGGAAGTAGTGTGAATGCAGAGGAAGAACATTCTCAAAAAACAGCTTTGTGCTCAGGAAATTTCAGAGAAAATTTCTAGGATATTTATCAAGGAAACAGCTGAGCATGGTGGTGAATGCCTTTAACGCAGAGCATTCAGGAGGCAGAGAGAGAGAAAATTGAATCTCTTAGATCTAGGCCAGCATGTAATATGGAGCAAGTTCCAGGATAGCTGGGATTACACAGAGATATTCTGTCTGGAAAAAAAAAGGAAAGGACACTAATATAGGCAATTTCACATGCATTTTCTGCCCATTCACTGGTGTCTAAATCCTACCTTTTCTTTGTCCAGAGGGTGCAGAGGGGGGTTTGCTCTTGAGTACAATTCACATTGATTCAATTAGAAGTATCTTTCCTCTACACTGGTCTATGTTTATTTGTCTTGCTGTGATCAAAACACCCTGAAAGGGGACAGTTTAGGAGAGAGAGTACATCCATTTCCCTACTGGAACTGTGTTATATGGTAGCACTGAAGGAAGTCAAGGTAGAAAACATGTTGCTTACTGGCTCATTTGCCGGCTCACACACTGGTTCATGCTTAGCTAGCTTTCTTATATAACCAAAGACCATCTGCTTAGAAACGATGCTGCCCTCAGTGCTCTGGGCCCTCATGTATCAATTAAGACAATCACTCACAAAAATGCACAGCTGTGCCTGACTAGGTTGATTGAGACTGTGTTCTCTTTTCCATTGCTGTTGTTTTTGTTTGTTTATTCATTTATTTTTGCATCCTGACTACACTATCCTCTCCCTCCTCTCCTCTCAGTCCCTCTGCACACTTCACCATTTTCATTGATCCACCTGTCTGATTTAGTGAGAAGACAATTCAGCTATTTTATTTTTTACTATAGTTCCATAGTAGATCTTGAAGTCGGGTATGGTGATAGCTCCAGAAGTTCCTTTATTGTATTCTTTTAGGTATCCTGGGAGTTTTTTGTTTGTTTGTTTCTCCATATGATGTTGAGTGCTATTCTTTTGAAATCTGCGATGAATTGTGTTAGAATTTTTGTGGGAATTGCATGGAATCTGTAGATTGCTTTTGGTAAGATGTACATGTTTACTGTATTAATACTATGTCCCCAAGAGCATGGGATATATTTCCATTTTCTAATATCTTCTCCAATTTCTTCTTTCAAAGATTTGGAGTTCTTGTTATAAAGGTCTTTCACTTGCTTGGTATCTTAGGGTTTCTATTGCTGTAAAGAGAAACCATGATTATGGCCATTCTTATAAAGGAACATATTTAATTGGGGTGCCTCACTTACAGTTTCAAAGGTTCAATCCATTATCATCACGGTGGAGATCATGGCAGCAAGCACACAGATATGTGGTTTGAGAATAGTCCTTCTAGGTTTCATTGATTCTTTATATTGTTTATACTTTTCCCTTTGCTTCTATTTTATTGAGTTATCCCTCAGTTTGATTATTTCATACTGTCCTGTACTCATCTTGAGTGTTTGCTTCTTTTTGTTCTAGAGCTTTCAGGTGCACTGTTATGTCACTAGTATGATATCTCATTAATTTCTTTATGAAATTATTTAGTGAAATGAACTTTCCTCCTAACACCATTATGTGTCCCAAAGCTTTGATGTGTTCTGCATCCAATTTTATTGAATTCTCAAAATTCTTTAACTTCTTTCTTTATTTTTTTCTTGATTCAGTGGTAATTCCATGGAGAGTTGTTCCATTTTTATTAGTTTACTGACTTTCTGCTGTTTCTGTTGTTGTTGAAATCCAGCTTTAATCCACAATGATCTGATAAAATACAGGTGGTTATTTCAATTTTATTGTGTCTTTTGAGACTTGCTTTGGTGACCAAGTATATGATCAGTTTTAGATAATATTCTGTGAGGTGCTAAGAAAAAAATTGTCTTCTTTTGTGTTTGGGTACAGTGTAGATAGCTGTTAAGTCCATTATAGTCATAATGTCTGTTAGTTTTTTTTATTTCTCTATTTATTTTCTACATGTCCATTGGTGAGAGTGGCGTCTTGAAGACTCCCACTATTAGTGCATGGGGTTCAGTGTGTGATCTAATATTTAGTACTGTTGCTTTTATAAATGTGAGTGCTTTTGTATTGGGGGCATAAATGTTCAGAATTGAGAGATTATCTTGGTGGGTTTATTCTCTGATGAATATGAAATGTCCTTCTCTATCTGTCTTGATTAATTTTGGTGCGGCAGGATGTCTCTATTCTTCTTCCTAGTGTGGTTTTCACTTTTCTTCTTCCTTTTCCTCCTCTTCCTCCTCCTCCTCCTCTTCTTCTTGTGATTGTTCCTAAACAACAGAAGTCAGCCAGAATAGGGACAGGGCCCAACAGCAGTGCAGTTGATAATACGGGAGCACATACTCTATGGGACAAATCTTTGGGAACAGAATCTGGTGAGTGGTGTATTTCAGCTGGTACATAGATCATTCATCTGTTCTTCTAAATAGTATGGTCTGTGCCTCAAGACTTTATTTTTTCTAAGGTGATTTTTGGCAGTCTCAGCATGACAGTTAATTCTAACTAGGACACTGTTTCAAACTGTTAAGTTCTCCTCCTCCATGGGGAGATTTCACAAAAAGTTCCCCATTCTTCAAATGAGTGGCCATCTTAGTTTGACATGGTCATCACAGGTGCTGGTATCCAATCAGAGCCAGAACACAGCTGAAGGACACCCTGAGTGTTGCTTTTCCCACTTCTTAGATACTGATCTCAGGAACACTGAGATGCCTACAACAGACATGGGAAGAGTTAAAGAAAGAGCATCAATAAAACATAAGTTTCATCCTGAAACAAGACAGTACTCCCAGACACATTAATTTCCTGTCTCTTTTGGCCCCATTGGAATCAAAGCAGAGCCAATTACCACATGAGACAAGGCAGCATTCAGGAGCATTTAGGGGGAAGGAACATGAGCACGGATCAAAGTTCTGGGTGTTCTTTCTGGTTGAACAGTGTGAAGTCAACAGACAAAGCTGAAGCAGTAGTCCTAGACATACCCGCTTAACCTTAAAAAACTATCCTGGTCAGAAAATGATTGCAGATACACAATAAGATAGATTCAGACAGAAATAAACCTCTGAACAAGTTATGGTGTGTTTTTAAAAATATATGTAGGCTTAAGAGAAAAGGAAAATAAGTATAGAAAGTTACGGAAAGAAATAGTTTTAAAAAATGAAGCAAAGATTTTAAAGAGACAGTAAAAGTAATATAAAAAGTATAGATATCCATAGATTAAAGGAATAAGATAATAAAATAAACATTAAAAAGTAATAGAGTAAAAACTCCATGTAAAGATAAAACTACATAGAAATCTGAATTATGCATATTATTTTGTTTTCTTTGACTTTATTTTTTTTTTTGACTGCAGAAAGACATTTGATTATGGGGGCTCCTAAGCTAAACCAACATATATATTTTAAAGGAATCTTGACTTCAAAATTTTAATCTAAGGATATGTTACTTTGAAAAAAGAGGTTCTTTTTTGTTTCCATAGAAGATGAGAACCTGTAGATTCTAACCAGGCTAATGTGGTTTGATAGACCAAGACCCCCTGAAAGGTCTCTGTGAACCAGAAAAATACTTTGCTGAACAGCAAAAAGCAGTTTGGAGAAAACAATGCCCAAATTCCCCCAAAGAATTGTATATCTTTGTGTTCATTTAAAAGGAGTTGATTATAAGTGGTTAATTGCCACACTAAATCTCTTTATAAAAAGGAGGAATATATGATACAGAAAGGGAATCTGGACTGCCCTTCATTCTTGAGAGGGAGGGAGAATGGAGGGGGGGATGGAGAAAGGAGTAGGAGGGTAGGGGGAGGGGAAGATGTGAGCGTGGAGGGGGAGGGAAACGGGGAGGAGGCAGAAATTTTTTTTGCAACAACTAAAAAAAATAAAATAAACAAAAAAATAATAAAAAAATAAAAGAAAAATAGAAAAGAAAA